CAAGGAAACGACAACGCCAGCCAGTGATGGCGACGGATGCTGCTGGCCAAACCATTAGTCGCCTCTTGTACCTTTACGATTTTACCACCAAACTTCCCTTTTTGGTTGATACTGGTGCAGAGGTAAGCGTCATACCTCGATCCTTGGAAAAACATGATCTGCGACCAGCCGGAATTACGTTACAGGCGGCTAACCAAACCAAAATCGCGACGTATGGCGGGACACTACTCACGCTTAAGCTTGGAGTACGACGAAAGTTGTTTTTCATTTTCCTCATTACGGATGTACAGAAGCCCAGTATTGATATCGACTTTCTCACCAAATTCGGTCTTGTCGTAGACCTGAGACAGTTCTAAGTCAGTAACTGTTTCCTACCAACTCGCTACGGTCAATTCCATTAGGCTTCAAGGACTACTGCCTAAAGAGTCACCCTACTCATCATTACTGCAGCACTTCCCCTCCCTGGTTAGAGCAGATGACGGCACTCTAGAACCCAAGCACGATATCTGTCACCATATCGTCACAACCGGTCCTCCTGTCTGCCAAGCCAAGACGCCTTCCAGCGGACAAACTACAAGCGGCCAAGGTGTTCGAACACATGCTTAACCTCGGAATTATTCGCCCTTCCAAAAGCTGATGGACATCTCCGTTACATTCGGTGCCCAAGAAAACCAGCGATTGAAGACTATGTGGCAACTACCGGGCGCCCAACTGTGTCACTGTTTCCGATAGGTACCTAATTCCCTATATCCATGATTTTTCTAGCAACTTCCACAGAAAGTCTGTTTTCGCCACAATCGATCTAGTTCGTGCATATCAACATATTCCTGTTGCTCCTGACGACATACCAAAGACCATCATTACTACCCCCTCCGGTTTCTATGAATTTGTCCGTATGCCCTTCGGATTGTGAAACGCTGCCCAGACTTTTCAGCCGTTCATTGATCAAGTCCTTAAAGGGCTAGATTTCGTTTTTGCCTACATCGACGACATTCTCGTCACCAGTTCGAACGATGAGGAACATCCGTCACATCTACGTCTGAGCTTCGAGCATTTTGCTCGGTATGGCGTGACGAGTAACGTCGACAAGTGTAGTTTCGACCAAACTTGTGTCAATTTTCCCGGTCATCAGATCGACCACAATGGTATTAGCCCACTTCCCGAAATGACACAGGCAATGGTGGATCACCCAATGCCTCAATCCTTCAAAAGTTTGCGTCGTTTCCTTGGGTTGGTCAACTATTACAATCGTTGCATTCCAGATTGTTCCTGACTACTTCAGCCTCTGACGGATTTACTAAAAGACAAATCCCATAAGTTTGAGCCAAAAGCAGAAGCAGTTGTAGCAGTTGATAAGACCAACAGGCAATATCCAACGCCACCACGCTTAGCCACATGAGACCCAATGCTGACGCACCTCTAGTTCTCAGGACTGATGCATCATGAACTGCCGTTGGATCCGTTTTACAGTAGCCGATCAACAACCAACCCGAGGCTTTGTCTTTTTTCTCCAAAAATACTTCAGCCTGTTCAAACTTGATAAAGCACATTCGGTCGAGAAGTTCTGGCTATTTATCTTGCCATTAAACACTTCCGACATCTACTTAATGGACGGACGTTCACTGTTCTTCCGGATCACAAGCCCCCAGCCTTTACTATCTGCGGTTCCTCTAACTGAATTTCACTTCGTAAGACTCGTCGTTTAGACTACATATCGCAATTCGCGACATACATTCGTCACGTTGATGCCACCAACAAAACTGTTGCTGACGCAATGTCTCGCATCGACCTCCACCATCTCTCACGCCAAGCTATGAACCTCGAGGATATATCAGCTTATCAAGAAGACGATCCTGAGTTCGCAAAATTGAGAGCAAACACTTCATTGAAACTCTCCCAGCTGCCTATTGTTAATATCTACTCTAAAATCTATTGTGATCTATCGTCCGGAAAGCCAAGGCTTTTCGTTCCACAGCAGCACCGGAGAATTGTTTTCGATCACCTGCATGGCCTTTCTCACCCTGGCATTCCAGCCACTGTCAAGTTAATCGCCGACCGCCATGTATGGCACAATATGCCTTCCGACATCCAAAAGTGGCCAAAGCATTGGTATCACTTGTCACGCTAGCAAGATACATCGACACACGATCACCGTACCTGGGACATTTGCGTTACCCGACGCTAGATTTAAACATGTGCACATTCACATCGTTGGACTACTTCCCCCATCCAACGGTTTCCAGTATTTTCAGACCTGTGCTGATCGTTTCACACGATGGCCTCACGCAGTACCTTTACGAGACGTTTCCCCCGAAACAGTTTCACGGACGTTTGTTGAAACCTGAACATCTGTCTTGGGCACCCCAGCCACAATCGCAACAGGCAGAGGTCCTCAGTTCAATGCCGCCCTATTTCCAGACCTGAACCGTTAACTCGGCTGTTCTCATCTGCGAACAACCGCCTACCATCCAGCTGCCAACGGTCTTGTTCTGCGTTTTCATCGTCAACTGAAAGCAGCAACTATCGCATCGCAGGCGAACGCGCAATGGTCCGAACGGCTACCAGTTATGCTTCTCGGCATTCGCAACACGGTAAAGGAAGACATAGGTTGTTGCCCCGCTGAACTGGTTTTCGACACAACTCGCATACTTCCCGTTGAGATAGTGTTAGATTCCAGAATCACTGGCGAACTAAAACCGACTTTCTATGTGATACGATTGCGACATTTGACTTCAGTCCGGCCAACACCGCTCCGATTCAGCCCTCAAAATCAGCAAGTCCATTCTAAGCTGCATACTTGCCCTTTCGCATGTGCGCGTCGATGCGCTGCGCAAACCCTTGACACCGCCGTATGGGGGCCTCTTCAAAGTTGTTGCTCACAAAGTGAAGTACTTCGTATTAGATAGAAAGGGTTCTAAGGATTCTGTGAGCTTTGCTCGTTTGAAACCAGCGTATGTCGAAACGCAAGCATTACAACTAGCCACTGAGCAGACCTTTCCCAGTACCCCTCCTAACCAGCCGATGTGTGAGCTGTGTTCCCCCCTCTACGTCCTACGCCGAACCAGTGAGAGAACAAAACACACCAAAGCACACACACTCAGGACGCGCTGTTGTTTTGCCTTCCAGGCTAATGACTACCAACAATTGACACAAGTATCGAGCGTTCGTTCTCCCGACTCACGCTCTAGGGTGGAGTCCTGTAGTGTTCATAAATCATTAACATTTTTCGTTGTAACTTCCCAGTCTACTTTCCGTCAATTATTGCACACTTGTTTTAACTCACACATCCAGATAGACGCTTCTTCGAATTTAGTTCGTCTTCTCGCTTCCGTGACGTTGTGCCACTTGGATCGTTGTGTGGGTGCTTCCATCGGTCGCCGGATCTCAGTTTACGGAAAAGCGTTCGATTTCTTCGTTCGTGCCATCAGATAAGTTGGCTGATATTTCCCACTTGTGACCTGACTGTGAGTAGTCACACTAAGGTCTTATTCGCCGTAAACTGTTAGCGGTTAATATCTCTCTGTCAGACACTATTTGGCTTCGTCGCAATCGCGGCTGTGTGTATCACATCTACATATTATGTTAATTGTTGGAGCACCGCCATATTTAGCAACGAGCCACTGCAGTCTTTTCCCTCATCAAAGTAGCTTCGATTCGGTTGATTGATGTGCTCTTCGGGACTGGCTACTTAGGAAAGGTGTAACCGAAAAATAGGTGTACATTACCAGAGCGCATCACTCGCATAGTTTTGGAAGAGAGAGTGTTTACGACAAACTATCGCCGCCTTTTAATATCGCCAGCGGTGTGAGACAAGGATTATCACTGTCAACCAACCTCTCTACATTTTCCACTGACGAAGTCATGGAACCTACGTGAAGTTGCTACCAGGTGAACGACGGCATTGCGCTTAACTGTGAGAGCTTTCAAACGTTCCAAGTAGCACTGGACAGACCAGTATTGGTTGTCCGTCGTTTCGGGCTATGCTTTGTACCCTCGATGTGCAAATCCTTCTTCAAGGCTGGCAAGGACTCACTTCTGCGCCAGCCCTTGGTGAGGATCAGTTTGAAGCCGTTCAGGAATTCAATTATCTAGGCAGCTATATCAGCATCAGTGGAATGGGATACGGAAACACAAACCGCATAGCAGAAGCTAGAGGCGTTTTTACCAACCTCCGCCATCTGTGGCGCCGGTGAGACATCACTCGCCCTGAATGGAAGTTTTCAATGCAGCCGGCCGTTCAACCCTACGGTACGGTGGCGAAACCTGGTTCATCAAGCCGACAGACATAAGGAGGCTGATCACGTTCGACCATTGCTGCCTTTGCAGCTTTGCCCATGTCTGATGGGAGCACCGGGAGTGTTCGGCGCCGCGTTTTGGGTGCATGGAAGGGCACTGTTATATCACGCATCAGGCTCCGATGGCTGCGCCACGTTAGTATGCCAGCCTACCGACTATCGCGTCGTGAGTTGCTTACGCGCCGAGAGTGTGGATGGGAGAGGGGTGGCCTAACGATTAATTGGTCAAGAGTAATGAGGTCCCTCAGTTCGTAGTTGGCGTCGGCTGGTGTGTCACGACTTTCTCGCTGGGGTCCGAAGGACAATGTATACCTCTGGTTGGATACACTAGTCGACATGGCAAGGAGCCGACCTAAGACGCTTGTATTGTGCGTGTCTGTGACCCGTTTATCCGCATTCCCCAATCACGGTCTCTTAATGTATTTGTTACAAAGTAGTGTGCCGCCAGTTATTCTGCATTCTACAATATTCATTATCTCGATTTCTCAAAGGTCTTACCTTAATGTATTGCGGCGCAATGATTTAAATGTGTTTCGGATAATGTGTTTCAGCTAGTGTGTAATGATATGGTCAGGCCAGGTCAAGATCCAAGGATGACACATGCTTACGCGCAACAAGCGTGCCGCTTCTAGTACCGGTAAGCCAACCAGAGCCCCAAACACTTCGTAATTTGATGATATTATTAGAGAGAACGTACATACTCACCCGATAGTGTAGATACTGCTGCCAGGAAAGCATAGATCCATATATTGAGCGGAGTGATAAGTACACGACGGCTCTCGATGGAAAGCATCGACAGAGAAACGACGACCGTGGAGCTTATTGCTCCGCAATGTGCGCGGATCGTAAAAAAGCACAATAACCTTGAGTCGGGCGTCCTTGAGCCGGCCGTCCTTGAGCCCGGTGTCCGTTAACTTAAAATTAATCTAATCATATAAATCATCAAGCTCAAGTAGCCGTAAAAGGTACGGTTGTTGAATCAGACTGACAAAAATCTTTGGGATCTGAATTAATATATAACCAGAACCACATCGCACCCTGGCCAAACAATTACGGTAATTTATCCTACGCTACTAATTTAAGGCGGAATGGATAGTTGGATTAAAGAGAGCAGAGATGTGCTTTTCAGTGCCATAAATGTCCCTTAATTGTGGAAATGGGTAGTCCATTGCGTAATAGCAATTCGCAGGGGGCCACTACAGCTCCATTATAAACTGCAGGTTCCCTGTATGCGCAAATGATAATGCGAAAGTGTTAAAACTTCCAGGTGTGGCTGTAACAAGGAAATCTCGGTAGTTTCCCTGCTTGAGGGGAACGGTGAGCCGTAAATTGTTGTGATACTCTGAGATAATGTTGGATCTGACAAGAAACACCCGTAGCACACCTTGGTGAAATAATTACTACCACCTTTGCTGCACGCTCATTCCTTGCTCTGACAGTTATGTGGAGCAAGTAGGGGTAGGCAGAGGTTTCTATGGTACCGAATAATACTCAACATGGGAGAATAAAACTAATCCATGAGGAAAAGTGCAGCAATAAATGGAAGTAGGACGATGGGAGCAAGAGCGGTGTTTAGTGTTGCCATCCAAGTGCGTCATGCTGAGGTTAAAACCCCTTACCCGTTGGTTACCTGATAACAATTTTTGGAAACAAGTTACAGCGCTTGATTACTCGACGCAATTGCCGAATTTTCCCTAGGCCATTTGGACCACGGTTTGTCAAGGTTCATGGTATGCCAGCGGAAAACATCCGACCTAGCTCGACGAACTAGCGATGACAAATCAAGACCAACCTTTACAGTTAAGATGCGATGGGTTGGGGTTTGATCTCCACTAAGCCTTCGGCATTGCCTTTGCTTACGTAGAACGCGCCCAGAGCACGTTTGTACCCGTAAAGCCTCAACCAACCTAGACCCCCACTGTAGAACCCACTCTTGCACTGTTTTCTCCTGGAGGAGACGATGCAGACAAACCTGAACGCCGTTGTCTAGATGAGACCCAAGGAACTCTGCGAACGTGCTCATAAAGGTACGGCACTATCGACGGGATCACCACTTATCGTGGTAACGCTTTTTGGTTGCGGATTTCCTGGATTAATAACCTGTCGTTCATGGATGCCAAAAGGGATCGCAAACGTATATTCCCAGGAATGTATTTTGGGGCTCCCAGATGTTGTACACGAGGTGGTCAAGAGTCGGCCGGCGATTCAAAAGGAATGAGGTGTTTGGAAGAATAATCGATGCAGCTGGTGATATTATCAGCTGACCGGAAGGTTGTGTAATAAAAGGTGAAAGGTACACTACATACCTCCCCACCAGTGCGCTAGTCGCCTGATGTTCAAGCGACCAGGAGTAAAATCCCGGTGGGAATAGCCGGTAAAAACTGTCCTCTACCTGGTACAGTGTCGCATGAAATACCTGAGGCTGAGGAATGGGAGGCATGCAGGCTAATATTCTGTGTGTAAGGCACAATTAAAGATTTTAGGAACAGTGCAGGATGGTAAACGCGCGGATGTTGGATTTGTCTAGACTGGATGTTCCGCTTCTTCCTCGTGCGAGATGTTCAGTTGCATCCTGTCGGAATCTGGAGAACCACAAACGAGAGGAGAGGCAGCATGAGGTACTAGCAAGTGATTAGCAGAACAATATGATATTGTCAAGATGTGTGATACACTAAGCGGTCTGAAAAATGGAGTCACCTTCCTGACCGTGTCTGCCGCATATTAATGTCTCCTTGTGGCTTAGATTTTGATGTCGCAAGCTGCGGGTCATCTTCAACGAGCTTTGGTGTCTGCTGCGTGCACTGTGTCGTGTGAAAAGCGGTAGATTGTTGTTTACAAGATTTTTCGATGTACGTTGGTTTAAGAAAATCTGCGGAAACCGCATTGAAGTTGCCATTCTTGTTAATAACATGATGTTTTTCGGTTTTAGAGCTCACTTCGAATGGTCCTTCGTAGGGTGGTTGTAATGGCTTGCATACTGCATCATTTCATACCTACAGATGTGAGCAAGTTTCGAGATCTTTCGGTATGTAACACTTGTTGGTGTTTGCGCATGTGGGAATAAAGTGCAGTTCACGCATAGATGAACGTAGCCGATGAACAAAGTTTGAGGGATCTATAGCGTCGATGTCGGTCGGTTCAACGAGGTCTGCCGTAAGCTTTAACGTGGTACCATATATTAGCTCCGCGGTGAAGCGACCTAAATCAACTTTAGGTGTTGTTCGAAGACCTAATAAAACCAGCGGCAAGGTTTCTGTCCAACGGGTAGTGTCGGAACATGCCATCAAAGCTGTTTTGAGATGACGGTGGAAACGTTCGACTAACCCGTTCTATGATGGGTGGTACGCAGTTGTTCTTATACGCTTGGTTCCGAGAGTATTGGTTAACTCGCGAAAAGCGTGGACTCAAATTGCGCACCGCGATCAGTTGTTATGGTGGATGGCACACCATAATGCGCGATCCAATGAGCCACAAAGTTATGTGCTACCGTCTCTGCAGAAATGCCTGCAATGGGTACTGCCACGGGCCAACGAGTGAAGCCATCGATGCAAGTCAGTAGGTACTTGTATCTACTCGACTGCGGCAGTGGACCAACGGTGTCTATGTGCACATGACTGAAACGAGCATCGGGAACGGTGAAGTTGCCAAGTGGTTCCTGAGTATGCCGTTGCACTTTTGAGCGTTGACATGGGAAGCAATTTCGCACCATGATCTGCAAGTCTTTGTTTGGTGCTGGCCAAACAAAGCGATCAGCAATAAGCTTGCGAGTTGCACGGATGCCTGGATGTGCTAAAACGTGGATTGAATCAAAGATGATCCGTCGATAGTTTGGTGGCATGGTAGGTCGTGTTTTTCCTGTCTTAAGATCGCAAGTCAGAACATCCGAACAACCAGGCAGCGGAATGCCTTTTACTTGAAGATTGGTTTCTTGCAGTGGTTGAAGAAACTGATTATCCTGATGTTGCGCTGTAGCTAGTTCTTGGAAGTCAATGGAGGAATGTTCGAATAGAGCGTTGCGTTCCGCCCTTGATAAGACATCTGCTACGGCGTAATTCGCACCGGACAAATGCCGTATGTCAGAGGTAGATTGGGAAACGTAATCTAATTGCCTAGTTTCTCGTGTGGAAAGACGATCAGAAGCAGAACGCAGTGCCTACGTTAACGGCTTATGATCGGTGAACATCGTGAACGTACGTCCTTCCAAATAATGTCGGAAATGACGCACATTGAGGTAAATAGCTAAGCGTTCTCTGCTGAACGTGCTATAACGTCGTTCGGCAGGCTGCAAGTTCTTAGGGAAAAAGGCAATTGGATACAATTCACCTTTCTGTCTTTGTTGAAGCACACCACCTACAGCTGCATCTGAGGCATCCACCGTTAACTGTAACGGGGCCTTAGGATCCAGATGCACAAGAAGAGTGGCAGTTGCTAGCTGTTGTTTTAGCTCGCTGAATGCGTGTTTAGCTGATTCCGTAAGGCTGAATGTTTTAGCATCTAATTTGAGTAGTTCGGTAAGTGGCTGGGCTAACTCTGAACAGTGTGGGATGAATCTTCGGTAGAAGTTAACCATGCCAACAAACCGGCGTAACTTTTTGATGGAATCAGGTATGGGATACTCAGTGATGGCTGTCACTCTGTCCGGTAGGGGTGCAATTCCAGCGGAGGAAACATGGTAACCAAGAAAGCCTACCGTATCAACTCCTAACTGACTCTTGGCGGCGTTGATAACTACTCCATAATGCGCAAAGCGTTCGAAAAGCTGTCGCAGATGACGCAAATGTTCGTCATGATTTCGACTTGCAACTAAGACATCGTCGGTGTAGACAAAACGAAGTCCAGCTCGCGAATGACCTGATCCACAAAACGTTGAAACGTCTGAGCTGTATTACGAAGACCAAATGGCTTTCGCAAGAATTCAAATAAGCCAAAGGGAGTAGTGACGGCAGTCTTAGGTACATCTTGAGGATGAACGGAAATTTGGTGTTATGCCCGTACTAAATCTACCTTAATGAACACTTTCTTTCCGTACAGCGAGGATGAGAAATCCTGGAGATGCGGAATGGGGTATCTGTCTGGGACGGTGATGGCGTTCAGTCCCCTATAATCCCCACATGGTCACCAGTCTCCGGGTTTATTCTTCGGGACCATATGTAGGGGCTATGCCCACATACTGCTGGATGGACGTATTATGCCCAATTGTAACATATGATCGAACTCGGCCTTCGCTACGGAAAGTTTATCTGGCGCTAGTCGCCGAGGACGATGAAATACTGGACTATCTGCTGTCGTTATCCTATGAACGATCTCATGTTTGATATCACCAGGATGATACCCAGGCTTCGTTATGCTGGCTAATCCGCGCAACAGATCCAAATACATCGAAGAAGCTTGAGACGGGACAAGCTGCGGACTCATAAACATTACGGAGCTCTTAAAACCAGTCTGTGATAGTTGCGTTAGGCCATCTATGATCTGACAGCGCTTAGGATCTACGATAATGCAATAGTGCTGAAGGAAGGTGATGCCTAATATGGCAGCAGGCACTTTAGCTATGATAAAAATCCGAGGAAATGATCTACGGAGGCCGAGATTTAAAGTGATAGAACGTCCTCCATAGGATCGGATTTGTGTGCCATTTACTGCTTGGAGGCTTATACCGAGCAATGTTTCAGGTCTTCTGGACGTGGGGAACTACACTGACTTGGGCACCTGTGTCTACGAGGAACCGCATACCGGGTGTTACGTCCCGCAAGTAGAATAGGCGACCTGGCTTGCATATGCCAACTTGCGTCGTCGCCATTACGTGCTGGCGTGGTCGTTTCCCGAATCGGAAAACCGACACGGTTTCACGTACTATTTCGCCTTGTTGCG